AAAAAAAAAGACCAAACAAACAAAAACTAACCCAGCAAGTTAGTTAAATCAAACGAACAAAACTCATCCCAAAGAATCCAGCCTCTGTTGTCCTGAAGGACTCTGAGATTGTTCTCACACACCTCTGGGTCACGCCAGTGGACACCCTGCTACCCAGCACCACCAGCTATGGAGGCTATATCCTCATGGTGGTAAACTTCAGGGAAGTCTGGCTCCTAACCCTTGGTTCTCAACTTCTACTAAAGGCATCCCTTTTCTACAAAAACATCACTTCAGTTCTTATCCAGAAATAACACTGGTGCCATTTATATCAAAAGGGGTAGGGGCGTGCAAGGTCAAAGCAATTTTTATTTTTTCTTTAAAAAAAGCATAAATGGGGCTGGAGAGATGGCTCAGTGGTTAAGAGCATTGCCTGTTCTTCCAAAGGTCCTGAGTTCAATTCCCAGCAACCACATGGTAGCTCACAACCATCTGTAATGAGGTCTGGTGCCCTCTTCTGGCCTACATACAGACAGAATATTGTATACATAATAAATAAATATTTTTTTAAAAAGCATAAATGTAAAATAGCACTACACTTGACATTTTTGCTTCACAAACTATATTTTTTATAAATAAACCCACATGTATGATTTTAAGAAGTAACTATCGTCTAGATTCTCAATTTTCACTCCTAAGTTGGTGAATGTTGAGAGGCACACCCACATAGCCAGGCAATCCTCTCTGAGGTCCTTCTCCGCTATGTTTTGAGCATAAAGCAGTGATTCTCAATCTGTGAGTTGCACCCCCTTCCGGGGTCAACTGATCCTTTCTCGGGTTTCACCTAAGACTATCAGAAAACACAGATATTTACATAAGATTCATAACAGTAGCAAAATTACAGTTATGGCATCACAATAAAAAGAATCTATGGTAGGGGGTCACCACAGCATGAGGAACTGTATTAAAGGGTCGCAGCTTTGGGAGGGTTGAGAGCCACTGGTATACAGGGTTCCCGAGGTCGCGAAGTTTGAGCAAGGCTGGCTCACTTCTCTGCTGTCTTAACAGCAGGGCACAAGGAGCGAAGGAACTCTCGCAGCCCAAAAAGCCAGGGGTCTAAGGCACAGCGCCTGCTCTCAGGAGAGACGTCTGGTTTTGAAGAAGACGGGGACGGGACAGGCCAGCCCTGTGCAGAGGTACCTATGACTGCCATCTTCCAGCACACCATGTGGGGCAGGGAGAGGAGCCCCACGACTAATTTTTTCCCCCGGCTTCCAGCTCCGATTTCCAGGACCAGCCCCCTTCTGCCCCCTGGTGGTTGTTAACCCCTGCGCAGTCTTTTTCTGCTCAGCGCCTGACAACACAACAGCCTCTTCTTGGTGAGGGTTCTGTACCTGCCCTTTGGGTGGCTTAGGAGCCTTGATTAGCCCTGAGTAAGTGATACAGGGAGCATGTGGCAGTGGGTGGGGCCTGAGATTCCACTCAGGGACAGAGCGGTTGCCTACTGTGTAGAAAGCCCTGGGTTCAATCACCAGAGGAGGGAAGGAGGGAAGGAGCGTGCGGGGTGGGGGGGGGGGGAGAGAAAAATCACATTCCTAGATTCCCAAGATATAAGCTATGGTCTTTTCTTTATGTGTACATCCCCACGACGAGGTTTAATTCACAAATTAAGCACGATGAGAGATTGGCAATCAGGACACGGAGCGCACGACGTTGCACTGCTGGGGAAGTGAGGTCTCCCTGGAAAGGGTCACGATAAATATTCATGTTTGGGGACCTCTGGTGAGTGAAGTGGAGGGCAGAGAATACCATATGCCGTGCCTGTTGAATAGGATCAAGTCAAAATCACACTTCTTACTGAAGGGCTCTACAGGGAACGATCAGATGTACAGAGACCCCGGACATTGGTAATTGAAGGGCAGTCTACACTGGGGTCAAGTTCTGTTGAAAGGGAATGGAATATTGCCTTCTGAATCTCGTCTGCTCATGTTGGTCACACTTCAGTGGTGTAGGAGCCTCTCCTATTACAAACAGGCTTCCCATGGATTCCTCAGAGTGAGCTTGCCGGTTTACACGTCACAGGATCAACAGAAAACAAAATGAGGCATAAAGGGAGGCTTAGGAACTCAGAGAATTTTTTCAAACTAATCGCACTGTTGAAAGCAAGAAGGAAAATGCAGAGGCAATGTGGAATCCTGGGGACCAGCCTGTGGGCTTTCCCACGGTACTGTCCCAGTGCCCACTAGCAGAGATTGCTGCTGTCCTATAAGCAAACCCGACTTAGATCTGTGATTTCCGTGGTAACCACTGAAGCCTGACCTTCCTCCAGGTATTCCCGCCTCCCCAAATGCTGGCAGCTAGACACAAGCCAATGTTCTCAGGAACTTGTGAAGTGGGTTCCCGTCTATCCAAAGATGTCATTTCCCTTATCATTGACAAAGGGACAAATGGCTACTCGTAGTGCCCATCTGCAAACCAAAGGGCATGCTGGCCTCCGCTCCCTCAGTGTTACAAGTACCTGTTACACACTTCACAGTCCATGCTGGCATCCTGACATCCTGGCTCTTCTCACCCTGCCCGTACCCGAAATGTCTCCAGCTCTGCCCACACCTACCCATTCTCCTCTAACCCTGCAGTTTTCAAAATGCTGCCTTTCTTTTCTTCCTCTCTCTGTCTCCCTCTCTCCCCCCTCCTCTTACCTTCTCTCGCCTCCCCCTCTTTCTGCTCTCCCGCACTCCCCCTCCCTCTCTCCCTGCTCTGCTCTTCACACCCCTCCTTTTCCATCCTCCTTTAGAGGTGGCCTTTTACGCCCCTCCCCGAATAAATCTTTTGCACGAGATCTGTCGCAATTGTTATCTTTGCCCTCTGATCACCGAAAACCCTAACAGTGTTGCCTTGACTCCACAGACTCTCCTGGTGCTTGAGCTCTCTTTTGGGGGTCTAAGCCCCACTGTGACCCTATCCCTTATCTCCAGTCCATCCGCAACAGATTGCAACAGATCCGCCTTCCAACCACTGATCACTTGGGCCCGCATCCGTCACCAGTATTTGGTGAGTGATCCATCTGGTCAACATAAATGTTTTCCCAATCCTCTGGTACTCTTGGGGGCAGAGGTACCCCCATCCATGGTCTTTACTGCTTTACCTGGCCCTCTTCACCTGACCCCAACCCAATCTTGCAGTTTCCTTAGGTTCAGCTGGGGTACTGTGGCCCTTCCTGCTCTCCTCTCCTCCCTTCTGTCTGGAGCTGCCTGTAACCCACAGCTCCTCTAGTCCCCAACCCCAGCATTTGGTCCTCACCTGCCGGCCTCTACCAGGCACCAAGTCTCTCCTCGGGGTTAGCCAGGCTAAGCCCCTGACCCACATCGAGTATGGTGACAACCCACTGACTGACCTCGTCCCCATTCAGTCTTCCTTGAGTCTTGGGGGGATGCCCATGGCTATAGGCTGCAGTGACATTTTCCCATGGGAATGACATCTACACCTTCTGGCTCTCCCCCACCCCCAACCCCTGCCCCGCGATGCCTCTTAGAAAACTTCTAGCTCCTCCACCTGGCTCCCAGCTTGAAGGGCCCCAAATGTATTCCCTTTTGCAAATCAAATCTGGCCTCCATATCCCTTAGAGAATCAATCCAAATGTGACCAACTAATGGCACCCTAAATCCCAATGTTATTCGGGGCCTTTACAAACACTGCAAGCGATTTTTTTTTTATTATGTATGCAATAGTCTGTCTGTGTGTATGCCTGCAGGCCAGAAGAGGGCACCAGACCTCATAACAGATGGTTATGAGCCACCATGTGGTTGCCGGGAATTGAACTCAGTACCTTTGGAAGAGCAGACAATGCTCTTAACCATTGAGCCTTCTCTCCAGCCCCTCATTCCCTATTTCTCTTTTCTCTGCTCAAGGTCTGTTTGTTTTTGTCTGGTCTCCCTCACAGCGCTGTGTAAACGTCTTGTCTTTAAGTTAGGGTTGATGGATCATAAGTTTGTTGCAAAGTGCCAGCTAGAGCTAACAGGAGGAGGAGAAAGCAAAGGAGCAGACTGGCCGCAGGTGGCACACACCGAGCACCCAGCCCTCGCACCCTGGTGTGTCTCTCTGCTTCCCCCTGCAGCGTCCGCTCCAAACAGCCGCTGATCTGGCTCTCCTAAGACATTGCAAGGATCATTCGTTTCGTTTCTGCTGACTTATTCTACCCACAAAATTTGATTGCAAATTCTAGAGTCCTATTCTTCAGTTGAGCAATCCCGTTACCTGCTTTGAAACCGTTGTCTCTTATCTGTCTGGCCTGCCATGCCCTCCACGTGGGCGCCTGCACCGACTCCTTTCTGGCTCCTTCAGCCGGCTCCGCCTCTGGCCTGCTGCACCGACATGGACAGCCTCGTTTCCTCCCGCTAACTGCCCTGTCTCTCTTTGCTTTCCTTGGCCTGCACATTGTGAGCTTCCTCGCCTCCCCCTAGGAGCTGCCTGCCTGCTAATTCCTTCAGCTTCTGCTCATTCAGCTCCCCTCATCCAGCTTAGAGAGCGTGTAGAAGTCCCCTCCGGAGGAATTTTGTTTTGTAACCCTCACTCTCTTCCTCCACAGACTCGGATTTTATTTCTCTAGCTTGGCCTCAGTACAGATCAGTGTCCAGAAACTGGTGCACTTGATTTGCAAACTCTCACAAATCGTAATAACTGTTACGGCACAAATGATCCCCAAGTATCCTATATCCAAGCTTGTTCCGCTCTACAGTCTCTCTACTTTCCACTCTTAAAAGCTGCTATCTCTACGATTTCTCTGTCCTCTGCTCTCCCAAGACTCCATTAAGGTTACGCTGTAAGCTCTAGCTCAATATCTGTACGTTCATTGGATGGTTTAAAATCTATAGCAAAAGTTGGCTTTGAACTTATAACTAAAGGCTTATCATTAAAATTTTATGTATTGGTAATCTTGTTTTGCTGCAACATATTATATTAACTCTGTATGTGTGTATGTGACTACCTTAGATTCAGTTCTGTGTGTATATGTAACTTGCACTGAACTCTGTGTGTATGTGTATATGTCACTTGGATTCAACTCTCATTTTTTTAAAAATAGACCTACTAGGAAAACAGATGTTTTTAAATTGCAGCTGTGTGGCTCTCCTCCATCTTGGCTGGTGACCTCTTCAAGATGTAAGCAGCTACATGACTGGCACTCATCTTTACTAAGGTTAAAGAATACATGTCATGTGACTTAATCACTGTCTTCAGATGGCCACATGGCGTAGAACAACTAGAAGTTACAAAATTCCTTAGTCCTAATAAGCTCTGATGTGTGATTATTTTGATTGCATTCTGACACTCTTGTGACTGAAAATAAAGTCTATTTTGAATCAGAGGGCAGAGCTACCTTCTAGCTGACCAAAATCGACCATGGAGGTTTTGGAGGACTGAGGGCACATAGACACAGGAAAGAGCAAGTGAGGGTCTTGGCCTTTTTGGATGGAGAACAAAAGCGACAGGAGGTCATTGCTTCTCCACCGTTTCTCTGATCATTCAGGTTCTTACCCCCCTATCTGACCCTTGAGTTTTTATTGACAAAGAATAATTAGATAAATGCATCAGAACTCTCTGCTTATTGTTGCATTGCTTTTAAGATTAAGGAAGCAACTCCCAAATATTTTGGATTGGTATGAATTTTTTGTATGGTGATAAAATTTAAGCCAGGCGGTGGTGGTGCACACCTTTAATCTCAGCGCTTGGGAGGCAGAGGCAGCTGGATCTCTGAGTTCGAGGTCAGCCTGGTCTACAGAGTGAGTTACAGGACATCCAGGGCTACACAGAGAAACCCTGTCTTTAAAAAAAGGAAAAATAAGAATTAAAGGTTATATTTGCTTTAAAAAAAACTATATATGTGATTCAACTCTGATTTAGAATATACTACATATGATAATAAAATTTTAAGGTTATAAAGGTCTACTCAGATTAACAAAAGCTGACTTAGGGAGTATGTCTAACTACTTATGTCTCTGCTAACTGTTCAACAACAAGCTGCTAGAAAACGTAGATAAATAACAACATATGTTTGATAAGTCAGGTATATTTGATTTAAAAAAAAGATTTATAAATTCCCAAGGTTCTACTCAGCTTCACAGTAATATTTGTCTAGCTTCTTTGTCTTTGCCATGTGGTTAAACTTTAGCTATCTGGATAAACTGAGTCCTACAAGAAACTGACATTCTATAATGATGCACTCTAAAAGAAACGTTTGCTGCGTTTATTCAACTCAAATTTTAAGGCTCAAACGTAGCAGAGGTAAAGCCTTAAAACCCTAAGCTTATAAAAGCTACTAACTTATTGTAAACTGTTAAGAATAATTAAGACAGGCAAGCTAAGAGTTAGTCACCTTATAAATGGTCAGATTCTTCAATGTGTTCAGAACTCTACTTGCAATCATGCTACTAATTAACTAATTACAGGAATAAGCTTTATTTAGCCTCCTATATTTACTTTCAAAGTTAAGCCTAAAACAAGCAACAAGAAACAAAGTTTGCTTATTTTAGATATACTTCATAGATTATGGTCCTCAAAACTTTTCAGACATTTGTTGAATATGACATTTAACATGTTTAATGGACAAAGCTTACAGACCCCCAGCTCCTAGCAGTGACCCTAAAGTCTAGCACAGAAGAACTCCACCTGGAGCTGGCTTTAAATGGGGCAGAGACAGCCACTGGGTGAGAAACTGCATTCACCTTGCTCCCCGCCAGGACCCTGTCCAAACTGTGCCCAAGCAGGACGCTGGGATTGCCCCTCTTTGTCTAGACAAAGGACTGAGAAGAACAGTTTACCTTGCTACCAGACTCTAAAAATAGATACACTCACAAAACAGATTTCAAAGTAAAAAATAGATACACTCACAAAACAGATTTCAAAGTAACCTTTTACTATTCTGTTTCTAAAGGACCTTGATTTACAGTGATGGCTATCAGCAATAAATTACGTATGTGTCATGGCTGCATAGAAAAAGTGAGGAGTTTACGTAAGGTCTGAGGCTATGAAAGTAGGTTGTAAGGGTCTAAAAAATGTTTTAAGATATGTAAAGGCAAGTTAAGAAGGTGTAAGAAAGAAATATCTTAAGGTGTGTAAATGCAGTCTGTAAAGGTATAAGAAGGTGATTTCAGATAGATGTAAGAATGAACCATGTTTCAGATCTTTCCCTCTCTACGCTATCGCTATATCAAGACTTCAAAAGTTCAGGGCTTTAACACGAATCTGTGGAGTTCTGATAAGCTAGTAATCCAGTAAGCACCAGCTCCCATTATCACAGCCACAAGCTCCAGATTTTAAATTTCCTTTGGTTGTCGTCTTCTCAGTATAGACTCAAAAGTGCTTCTGATGGGGCTAAGAACGCCTGTGTAATCTGTACACACCAGGCTTCTGGAGAGAGGACAGAGTGATCATGCTTTTGACCCAGCATTTTTAGGTCCCCACGCTTCTCCCATGACTCAAAGGTGTGAGTCTACTGCCTTTTCTGTGGTGTGGATTTCAGTACAGATTGCAAACCGTGGGAATACTAACGTGTTCAAAACTTAGCATTTTTTGTAAACTTGAGAAATTCTTTTAAGTTTCAGGGAATCAACTTGAATCCACCTCTTATGGGTCGAATGGACTCCAGGTAAGTCCTGTCCACTAACAACCTGTTTCCCCACCTGCCTGTTCCATTTATTCCTGATCTCCCCTACTTTCCTTAGTTTTAGGACAGTGTGCCTGTAAATTTCTAATGTACTCCTAAGATAAAAGTTTTCCTGGTGCTGGAGAGATGGCTCAGTGGTTAAGAGCACTGACTGTTCTTCCAGACCCCCTCCCCCGTTCAGTTTCTAGCACCCACACTGCAGCTCACAACTGTTTGTAGCTCCAGTTCCAGGGTTCTGATACCCTCACCCAGACACATGCAGGCAAAATACCAGTATTAAAATAAAAATAAACCATTAAAAAGTTCACTTAAATTCCTTCTCTTCCTAGACTATCTGTCCCAACCGATTTCATATCAACTGCAGACTTCTCCAGCAACTTGCCAGCCCCAGAAGTTCCCTCGAAATCTGTATCCCGGACATCTTCAAAGCAGCTAGCCCCAGGTGGTCCAGCTTCACTTCCCCAGCCCCAAATGGTCCTGAAGAATCTGGACAAAGAGTGGCAACAGTCTGCTCTTCCCAGACTTAGCCAGCATCCCAGCTTTCGTGGGTCCCCAAAGACATCAATGCTCCCAGATGACAGGAAGCCCCCATTCTCGCCTCACCAGCCACCCCATCCCATTTCCTCGCCTTTTATAATAAACAAGAGGGGGAAATGTTGGTAAACTGAGCGCCACCCACATTCCAGAACCAAGTACTCCCTCGGCCCGCTCTCTGACTCAGCACCAGCAACCGTGCTATCACCAGCAGCGGCCAAATGCAAGCCTTTTTCACCTTTAGAACCCCTGCACCTTCACGCCCTGCCCCTTCTCTTCCATCCTTGCTCAGAGGCGGCCTTCTGAACTCCACCCCTAAGCAATCTCCGGCATGAGATCTATTGTGTGGTGTCGTCTCTGCAGCATTCCTTGGCCCTCTGGTCTCTGCAAAATCCTAAGAAGGTTTCCTGTAGTCTAGGCTGGCCTAGCAGAGGCTGTCCTTGAACTCCTAATCCTTCTGCGGGCAGCTCCCAAGTGCTAGGCTTACAGGTGTGTATGCCACCATGCCTAGCAAAAAAATAAAAATAAATAAATAAAACTTTATTATGTAACCTAAAACTTTAATTTTGAAGCATTTGAAGAACATAAATTGTTACAGTGTAATGAGTAAAAAAAAATGTATAGATTTGTGGGAAATAAAATTACTGACATAGTTCCACAGATAGGGCTTTAAAAAATGACTAGCAATCTAAGGGTGGCTTTCACAATTTTAAAGGATTGAAAAATGGGCAAAGAAGAAGATGAGGAAGAGACGTCTGTGTGTGCACACATGGCTGGGTCTGCCCTCTGCTGCAGGCCAGTTGCAGCCCTGGGGAAAGGTAGCTTTGCTCCCATCCCAGCAGCAACTGGCAATAGCTGTGGCCTCCAAATTACTATGTCAATGGGGAATCCAGCTCTTAAAATAGGAGACCGTGCTCAGGCATTTGGGGAGGGGGGGTGGGGGAGGAGGTTGTTGGGATGGGGTGAGGAAAGATGATAAACTAAGGGGTCACACCCAGCTGGTGACAGCTGCTCCGTCATCTTTCTGGCCGCCTGAGGCAGGGAGGGGACAACACTCAGAAAAAGGATAATTTCTGTTCATAGATCAGGCACAGCTTGGTTCCCTCTTTTGTTGTCTGGCCAAACAAAGTCCCTTACTTGCCTCTTTCCTGCAGTGAACAGACTTAAGGAACTGGCCACCGTGGTATAACTTGACTGCCCAGAAACTTTGGGTGGTATCTGGATCACACTGGGGCAAGGCAGAAAGGTGGTCATTTTCCCTCTCATTCCTTGGCTGCCCTTAGAGTTCTGTCCTCCAGAAGTCGCATGACAGAAGCCACCACTACTAAAACTAAAAGTATTTGTCACGAGCTGAGTTGTGGTGGCACATGTCTGTAATCCAAGCACTTGGGAGGCAAAGGCAGATGTACAAACTGACACGACCCCTCCATGGTATGGTTGGGGGAAAGTTTTTATTGTAGATATGAGAGAGAGTACAGCCAGAGGCATCTGGAAGGGTCCAGAGCAAAGAGAGAAAGTGGTACGCTGGACATGGCCAGCAGACTAGACCTGGTCATGAGAGAAGCAGGAGCAGAGTAAAGACAGAGAGGAATATAGATGGGGTGGGGGATAAGAGGGAGTGGAGAGTTTGGCTGGAAGTGAGCCCCCAGACCCTGGCATCCATCCCAATGCCCCTCCCCTGGGAGTTGCCACAGTCCAGACTCCACCTCCGAGGAAGCCCACCAAACAGTGACCCTCCCCAAGACTACTCCCATGGGCTATTTAAAATGCCTCCACACACACCCCTACCTCCCCACAGAACGAATATGTGGTCTTCTCGGTCTCCCTTTCCCCTCTCTGTGGTTTCTGGTCTTCCTTCCTTAAATAGTTCCAGGAAATTATCAACGGAAGCTGAGAGAGAGTTGGCTTTGGTGGAAGAGAAACTACAGAATGCACATGTGGATTGTGTGCATCTGAAGCTTAACTGCATTCTGGTCATATTACCCTCCACACGTTCCCCTACAGGGATTTAATGCAGAGGGAAGGTATTATCTTGGAATGTATATTTTTACCACATAAACAGAGTAAGAAATTAAAGACATATATGGAAAAAGTTTCTGATTTGATTTTAAAAGGAAAATTAAGACTTCGTCAATTGACAGGAAGGGATCCAGCAGAAATTGTAGTGTCTTTTACTAATGAGGAAATTTCCTATTTGTGAGCAGAAAATGGATACTGGCAAAGAGCCTGCAGTAACTTTTTAGAGGAAGAGATTAGCAATAGCTTTCCCATAAGTGAGAGACTCAATTCATAGAAAGAATCTGTTGGGTCCTTTCTCACATTGTACGGGGAACACCAACCCCTGGAGCCCCTATGTTCTATGCTGCTGGAAGTCAGTCAGTAAAGGCAGGTTAGTGATCAGGAAACTTAAGAAGAGTGGTTCAAAGTCCCTATGATTCTGTGCAAAAGTGAGAATTGTACGCCACGCTCGTGGTACTAATGGATTTAACAGAACCTTTCAATATAGTTGCTGACTCTCAATGTGCAGAAAGAGTAGTTTTGCATATTGAAACTGCTGAATTTATTCCTGGTGATTCAAAATTAACTTTGTTATTTATACAATTACAAAAAATACTTAGGAATAGGAATTGTCATATATATATATATCACACATCAGATCCCATTTGGGCCTGCCAGGTCCTCTAGCACAAAGTTATGATGAAATTGATCATATATTAATAGGAAATGTGATGGAGGCCTCAAAATTTCATAAAAACACCATGTCAATAGCAAAGATTTGATAAAGGATTTTTCCATCAACTGGCAACAAGTAAAGGAAATTATAAAAAAAAAAAGAAGTCTTACTTGCTCTTTGTATAATCAAGCACCATTACCTGCAGAAAGTAGCCTAAAGGTATGTAAAAAAATTAAATTTGGCAAATGGTTGTGTTTTATTTTGAAGAATTTGGAAAAATAAAATATGTACACCATAGTAGATATATTTTCAGGATGTCAATGGGCACCTGCTTTGAGTTCTGAAAAGGCTGATTATGTCTATTATAATACCTATTATAAGTCATGGCCATCATGGGAATACCTACACAAATTAAGACTGACAATACTCCAGCATATATCTCTAGTAAAATGAAACATATTTTTGCATATTATAGTAAAAAGCATATTACAGATATACTACATAATCCTATAGGACAAATGGTTGTAGAAAGATCTAATCTCACCTGAAAGAAATGCCTAATAAACAGAAAAAGGTAATAAATACCCCCAGAGATAGATCGCATAATGCCTTATTAGCCTTAAATTTTCTAAATGCTGGTTAAAAAGGAACAGTAGCTGCAGAAAGACATTAGAGAATTGAAAAAAAATAACCAAATCAATCTGTGTACTTTAAAGATTTATTGACCTCAGAAAGGAAATCAGAGTGTGTTACATTGGGGAAGGGGTTTTGCTTTTGTTTCCACAGGAGAAGAAAAGTTATGAATACCACCAAAATTAATAAAGAATAGATTCAAATAGGAAATACCTCTTAATAAGGAGAGGAGATAGTTCGTCAACTGGTGTGGCAATTTAACACAATTTCAAAAAGAAAACTCACCCTATAAGGTGTAGTAATAGGAGCGGCAGGGCTGCGTCCCCAGCACCAGGCCGCCCACATGGCTAGCTTATGCCTGAAATAATTACACAGAAACTGTATTCTTTTAAACACTGCCTGACCCGTTATCTGTAGCCTCTTACTGGCTAGCTCTTACATGTTAATCTAACCCATTTCTAATATCCCTGTAACACCACAAGATGTCTTACCAGGGAAGATCTTAACCTGCGTCTGTGTCCGGTAGGAGAATCATGGCGACTCACGACTAAGCTTCTTTCTCCCAGCATTCTCTTCTGTTTACTCCACCCACCTATGTTCTAACCAATAAAATGGGCCAAGGCAGTTTCTTTATTATAATTAACCAATGTCCTTCCTCCATCAATAAGGGTTGGGGCAGAGTTCTGTTTTTTGTCTTTATGGGAAATAGAAATACCTGTCTTCAAGAAGTCAAAAGACCTTAGTCTTCTGTTCTTCAGCTTCTTCTGCTTGCTCTTCTTCGGACGCGAAAGGATGCAACAAAACCCATGTGGAGCACGAGCTTTATTGCACCGTGTGGGAGAGAAGGGGAAAAGAGAGCAAACAGACGGTTTTCCAGCCCTTTAAAGGGTTCCCCACGCACGTGCATCAGACGCCATGTTCTGCACCTGCGCAGCCTTTGCGTGGAATGCTAGGGGCTCCTGGGAAATGTAGTTCCCCAGGTGAGCTACGCTCAGGGGCCTTCTGGGGAATAACATTTCCACCCTTTTTAATTTATTAAAAATCTGGGGGGTTGAGAGTCTTAATGGGTAGGGAATAGGGGCGTAGCCCGGTCTCTCATGACTGCTTCCTGCTGACTTTGGGCGTCGTCGAGGGGTCCAGGGAGTGTCTGGTTATTTTGACGGTGTCCTGTTGGTCACGTCTTGTCCACTGGCGTTCTGAGATGGCTGATTGTCCGATGATCTTGACCGAGGAGGCGGAGTAGGGCGGGAGGGAGATGGGGAGGATGAATCTGAAGAGGCTTCTGATGACCTTGTATGACCTACGACGAGGAGGGGGGGGGTAGGAGGAAGCAGAGCCTGAGGAGCCGGATGGAGACCTGCTGGCAGGAGAAGGGTGTTTAAGTGAGACTCTTTTAGATCTGGAATAGGATTTCGGTGGGGTCTCCGGGGACCTAGAAGGTCTAAATCCACACATGCTGTTAAAAGAAAAATTCAGAGTCTGTGTCTCAAATCAGAAGAGCCACCTGGTACGGGACAGAAAAAAAAAAAAAAACAGGGAAATCTCTTTCCCCTACTTATTTTTGACTCTTTAGAGCCTTTCTTTAGATATATTACTATCCTAAATTTAAACTTTCTGTTTAGATATTAATAATGGTTAAGTTTTCCACAGTGAATAATAAATCTTCCTAAGAGTGATCTCTGAAGTCTCCAAAAAGATGATGGGTCCCCACAACAATGACTCTACCTGGTTCATAATGATGCCATCGAGCCAATAAACACCACTCAGAGAGAGCCTCTGGACCACAAACTGTTTAGGACAATTCCAAGGTGATTCCAAGCTGAGATGATCCACCTTTTCACACCACTCTAGACAGAACTCAGATGAGGTTTCCCCGTTACTCATAGACTGGCCACAAATGTGTTACAGTTCTCAAGAGACTTAACCATTGCTTTAGGTTATTTTTTTTATAGGATCCCATAGAGATACTATCGCCCCCTAGAGGGCAGGAAGCAATTCCAAGAACACAAGACCCCCTCTGCCAATAAGTGGGATGTATGATTTTTTGGTTTTTCTCAGGGTTATGGATAATTGTCATCTTTAAGGGGTTGGTTATAAATAGTTACAGGGTTGGAGGTGGAACAATAAAGATTAAACTCAGGAATCTCATTTGAAATAGAAAAAAAGGGAGAAAGATAGGTTAGGACAATAAGGTAGATTATTATA